TACAGTTCGTCGTCTTAGCCTACAGTTCGTCGTCTTAGCCTACAGTTCGTCGTCGTAGCCTACAGTTCGTCGTCTTAGCCTACAGTTCGTCGTCTTAGCCTACAGTTCGTCGTCGTAGCCTACAGTTCGTCGTCGTAGCCTACAGTTCGTCGTCTTAGCCTACAGTTCGTCGTCGTAGCCTACAGTTCGTCGTCTTAGCCTACAGTTCGTCGTCTTAGCCTACAGTTCGTCGTCTTAGCCTACGATTTCTTCGATGTCAACAACAGGCTCAACATGTCAGGTAACCAACCCCCGTGCCGGGTGACCCGGGTTTGGCTGACCCGGGTTTTGGGTGACCCGGTTTTGGGTGACCTCCGTGGGGGGGCTCCACCCTAAAGAAGGACCTTTCTCAGCCAAACATTACTGGTGGCTCACATTACTGGCACCAGTGGCTTACACCGCCACCGAGGCCGCGACATGCCAATCGGGTCCATGGATGCTTAGAATGTGGGGACAGTCGAACCGTTGGTGGGAACATCTTCTGAACCTTTGACGGAGGGAACATTTGACCAGCTCGACGAAGTCATTCATTGACGGTACCCCCTCCAGGGCTCCCTCAAGGACCACTGATGGATCCTTGAGGGAGACCTGTGGCCGAAGAGTTGGGGCTTTGTGTCGAAACCGGTTGGGCAGGGCTTCCTCTTGGGTGTGACAACTGTAACTTGGCTCTGATGTTTGTTAGTCCCATGACCCGGTCGCTTACTGCCGATGGACCCGCAAACTTTCAGAACATGGTGACCGCTAGCATTAATGGTGCCCAATGTGGATAACATAAGCAGATGGGAATGAAGTGGATTTGGCGGCCCGTACCCTACCCCTGTGTGATGGCTATTAGGGGAAGTACAAATGCATCGTGTCCATGCTGGAACTCGATCGGCCAAACACTGGCAAAGCGGCCTGTCGTCAACGCCTGTAAAAACAGAAGTCCTACTGGCCCGTTTAAGTCCAAGGAGATGACCCGCTGAGCCCGGATTACTTGACCCGCTGAGTCCGGATTACTTGACCCGCTGGGTCCGGGTTACTTGACTTCTTTTATTGCTTATTACCGGACCGGAATGACGATATGTTATTGCGGCCGGAAGACCCGGTGGGTGGTCATGGGTCGGGAGCCTCTCAACAAGGTCGGAAACAAGAACCCCTGATCCCAATAGGTCGGCAGCGGAAATGGCCACTCTCGCGTGCTTGAAGAGAGAGAGAGAAAAAGATGGAGAGAACCGAGGAACTGTTCCTGACGGGTGCTTGAAAGCTGGACATCGCGAAAGTTGCCGTCCAGCGCGTTCGGGCCATCTTATCCCCAAGGATGTGGGATATGGCTATCATACAGTGAATCCCTACAACGTGTGTAATCGACGATGGTTGACCACCGATGGTTCAGCGAGATGATCAATTTATTCAAAACAAAATCTCTGTTGTCATTGATCAACCCTCTACGGTAACTCACGCCCTACAACAAACTGGAACTACCGGACAAGAACGCTGTCATAGACGCCGTCTAGTCGACCAGGATTTAGACACCGAAATAGCGCACAAAGTGCGCTCCCTATCAAGACACTATCCGGAAAAAGTCGGATAGCACTCGGGTGCTGCTTGAACTTTACTTAATTTTTGGGTTGGAGTGAGAAGGGACCGAAGACCCAGTGGATGGATATACCCAGTGGATGGATATACCCAGTGGGGTGCCGCCGCCGGCAGGAGGAGAGATGCGGGAAGTCCTCGTATCTGTAACTTGTTTCTCGCATCTGCCCTCACATGGCCGGATGAAGCCGGATAGCAGGCGAGTGTGGTGCGTTTTAGTTACCATTGAATAACGCGAGGTTTGCACCGATGGGCGTGCTACGTTTACTACTTGAATTATTAATTCTTGACTGGTATGAGGATAGGTCGTGCCGGCCACAATGCCCAGTGGATAACAACCATCGCCACATTCGGGATGTCGCCCGTGGGAGGGATGCCACACAATGAGGTACCGAACACGAGTGCGGGAAGCCCGACCTCGCGGTTAGTCTCGCCGTCAATAGCGCACTGGAATCAGACAGACGAAGGAGAGACACAAGACGTGAACGATGGAGAGACACAAGACATATTCGAATCTTTGGTAATGGAACCTCTACATCAGGACTACGTGAATCTCTGGGCAGTGCCTTTCTCGGAAGACTCAACAATATTTCCGGTGACGTCGCAGGCGGAGCCAGTGGGGGAGACCTCGCAGGAACGATTGACCGGACCTTTGAGCGAAGCTTGCCCTGACCTTGTGAATGAGGGTTTGTGGGAACCATGGATGGAATCAATACAGGAAACGATGGTGGAAAGTTTGAGCGACCCTGTGATGGAGGACACCACGTTAGGACCATTGATGGGAGCCTCAGATGACTCCCTGGCGGAGATTTTGAGGAGAGCCTTGTCAGACCTTCCGGGGCAACCCTGGCCGGAACCTGTCATGGAGGTCCCGCTGGAGGCCCCGTTGGAGGCCCCGTTGGAGGCCCCGTTGATAGAAAGCTCGAGAGAACGGTTGGTGGAAGCGCGGCCTGAGTCTTTGGCAGCAACCCCGCGCCAGAAACCATTGGTGGAAGAACCGCTGGTGGCTGAACCTTTTGTGGGGCAAACCTGGATGGGTCCTAATTTAGTGCCTCGGGTGCTGTATGGGTGCTTGGAGATGGAGAAGGACCTCAAACCCGCACTCACTACACTTGACGAAATCAGGATTGTGAGGTTAGCTGAGGCCGCCTTAAGGGATCTAGTCGAACGGGGAAAAACGGGGAAAGACGCGTCAATTTCGAGAGAGCCTATGTCAATTTCTGATTTCGACAGTTGTTCCTGGCGATGGCTAAAACTGGCGTTGTTAATGCAAGAGAGACAAGACGGTGGCTTGGTTTCAGAGTTAGAGAATTTGGTCTCGAGGCCGATTGGTTTATCTGATACCTGGTTTCTGGCTGGTGTGGTGCAGAAATTCTTCTCGTCCTATAATTTATCTAACTGGATGCGCCATACCGTGTCGTCGCAGGGCGGCTGGGGTTGCAGGAAGATTATTTTTCGTGTTTCCTTTCCAGATGATATTGTTCGTTTACCGGAGAATGAGGACTCCATAAAACGCGTTTGCGCCTGCTCAAAGCTAGACTGGTGGTTCCGTCAAGCTCATAGAAACATTCGCAGTGATGAAGAAACATGGAAGGCATCGGAACGGCCGGAGGCCGTCGCCGCTATTCAACGTATTCTGGGCAAGCAAGCATTTGACGAAGCGGTAGACGCAATGAGGAATGTAATACCGCCTCCGCGTCATATGAAGTTGTCGAATCTGGCTTACCTAACTTGCTTAGTCAGACACGTTGAGACAGCTCCACCGAAACAAATCAAGATGAAAATTAAATGGAGAAGACGTGCTCCCAGGAAAACCCGAGGTCCTCAAGCCGTCCCTGGTCATGAAGCCACCCGTTGTCGTGGGTCCTCCATTCCGTCCAGCTCCAATCCAACGCCAACTTGTTCGTCACTGGCTTTCGTTGATGCAGATAACTCGGTTGATCCCGATAGGTCGGTTGCTGAGGAGATGACGGCCTTTATGGCCCGCGTACTTGAAGACTGCGCGACGAAAGAGAAAAGCGAGGGAGTCAGTCAGGGGCGAGAGGAGATGCTGAGTATTGCCAGACTCGGCGTCAAGAACTTTCAGGCTGTCCTGTCCTCCGCAAAAAGGTCAGAAGAAAGTCCCTTTCGGAGTCGCAGCGCGAAGGGCTGCCCTTTCAACTCGTGTGGGTGGCGGTGGTTGTGCTTGGCAGGATTGATGAATGACCACTTGGAGACGGATGAGGTTCACCAATTAATTGCTGACAGTGAAAAGGTTGTACCGAGACCGGAAGATGTGTCGCCGTTGTGGTATCTGGCCTGTCGGATGCAGGCCTGTCAGAGGACAAATTGGCTGAAAGCATCCCCGGCTTGGTGCGCAGTCAATACTATGATTTACCGCGATCATTTCCCCGATACGTTTGGTGAGCTGCCTACTTCTAAGAGGTCTGCCCGGCTTATTTCCTTCAGCTCCAGAGCAGCACACTGGATTGCATCCGGAATCCGCAAATTCCATCTGACCCGCAAGACATGGTCACGTAGCCAATATCGCGACATCGTGAATATCTTTCAAATGGTTATGGGAGACCACTGGTTCAGCGAAATGATCAATATAATCAGGCCAAAGATCTCTAAAATTGTACCTGATGAGGGCCCAGAACAAATGAAGAAGCTATCAGACAAATCCATCATGGAAGCCGTCCTCAGGTACGCTCAGGTTGGTCGAAGACTCAGCTGCGGATTCTGTCGAAGTTGGCAGTTTGATGTTGCCCAAAATCCCGAGAGGTCCGGTGGAATCGCGGACACGAATTCGTCTGAGGACGAATGGCCCCCGGAAAAAGTACGCAGACTACTCACCTAGAGGCCCCCCGGAGGATCCAGGTAGAAGACCGATTTGTGTACTTCTGTTTTCCGCGGATGTCGGTCGGCACGGGTTCGAGCAAGGGGTACGTATTACAGATGCATTACCATGACAGAAAACCCGATTTATTGTCTGGGGGTGCCAGATATCGAATGACGAGTCGGGAGACAGGACTCGAAAGCGGGGAGGGCCGGCACCGGGGGCGGGGGAGTCCGATAACGAGTCTGCCTAGTTGTGTTTAGGATGAGTGTATACAAAGGTCGAGGCAACAAGAAAGATTGTATTTTATTGAGAGAGTGCTTTGAAACCGTGGCAGCAATAGAGGCGTCCTATTTCCGATCAAAGAGCAGGCGCGCTTGCCTTCATGTGTTGCTGGGAATTATTATTTCTGGAGGTATGAGGATATGTCGGGCCGGCCATCATAGCCAATGGATAACAACGATCGCTACGTTTGGAGTGTCGCCCGTGGGAGGGATCCCACACGACGAGGCCGCGAACACGAGCTCGGGAAGCCCGACCACGCGGTTAGTCTCGCCACCAATAGCGCACTGGAATCTGATGAACGAAGGAGAGACACAAGACATATGGTACCACGGGCAATCTGTGGCAACGGAACCGCTGCATCGGGACTGCGTGAATCCCTGGGCTGAGCCTTCCTCGGCAGACTCGACAGAATTTTTGGTAATGACGCGACCGGAGCCAATCGAGGAAACCCCGCAGGAACTGTTGATCGGAACCTTGGGGGAATCCTGGCCTGACCTTGTTAACGAGGCTATGTGGGACCCGTGGATGGAACCACCACAAGAGACCATGGCGGAATGCTTGACCGACCAGTGGAGAGTCTCCACCAAACGTTTGGTGGAAGCCGTTCCAAATCCTGTGATGGAGGAGACCCCGCTAGAACCTTTGATGGAAAACATGGATGAATCGCTGGCGGAACTTTTGACGGAAAGCTGGTCAGATCTTTTGGCGCTACCCTGGCCAGAGCCTGTGATGGAAACCCCGGAAGTACCATTGATGGAAACCTCGGCGGAACTTTTAGAGGAAGGGTGGTCAGACGTTCTGGTGCAATCCCGCCCGGTGCCAGAGGCCCCGTTGATGAAGACTTCGAGTGAACCATTGGTCAACGCTTGCCGTGAACCTTTGGAAGGAACCTGGATGGGTCCTAGTTTAATGCCTCGGGTGCTAGATGAGTGCTTGGAGATGGAGAAGGACCTCAAGCCCACGCTCACTACACTTGAGGAAACACGGGTTGTGAGGTCGGCTCAGGCCGCCTTACGAGACCTAATCAAACGAAAAAAAGGGGGGGCGGCCGGGTTGATTGTTGAGTTGTCGATTTCCAATACGTCGGGTTACGACATGTCAATTTCCGATTTCGAGAATTGCACATGGCGATGGCTAAAACTGGCGTTGTTAATACGAGAGTGGCAAGGAGGTAATTTGATTGCAGAGTTAGAGGATTTGGTCTCGAGGCCGATTGGTTTATCTGATACCTGGTTTCTGGCGGGCGTCTCGCAGAGATTCCTCCCGTCCGGGAGTTTATCCAGCTGGATGCGTCCTACGATGTCGTCGAAGGGCGGCTGGGGTTGCCGGAGGATGGTTTATCGCGTCTCCTTTCCAGATGATGTTGTTCGCTTGCCGGAGAATGAGGACTCCATAAAGCGCATTTGCGTCTACTCAAAGCTAGACTGGTGGTTCCGTCAAGCTCATAGAAATATTATCATTGACGAAGAAACATGGAAGACCTCGGACCGGCCAGAGGCGATCATCGCTGTTCAACGTATTCTGGGCAAGCAAGCATTTGACGAAGCCGTAGAGGCAATGAGGAATGTAATACCGCCTCCGCGTCATATGAAGTTGTCGAATCTGGCTTACCTAGCTTGCTTACTCAAACGTGTTGAGACAGCTGTGCCGAAACAGATTAAGATGAAAATTAAAAGGAGAAAACGTGGTCCTGGCACAGCCCGTGATGCTGAAGCCATCCGTGGTGCTAAAGCCATCCGTGGTCATGAAGCCACCCGTGGTCATGAAGCCACCCGTTGCCCTGAGTCCTCGATTCCGTCGAGTTCCAATTCCATTTTAACGCCAACTCGTTCCTTAACGTCTTTCGCTGGTGCCGATAGCTCGGTTGATCCCGATAGGTCGGTCGCCGCGGAGATGGCGGCCCTTATGGCCCGCGTGCTTGAAGAGTGCGGGACGAAAGAGAGAAGCGTGGGAGGAGGTCAGACGTCCGAGGAGAAGCTGCGTATGGCAAGTCTCGGCTTTCATACCTTTCTGGGTGTGTTACACTCCACAAAGAAGTCAGAGGAAGCAAGGAATCGGAGAACGAATAACTCTTTCGACACATGTGGGTGGCGATGGTTGTGTCTGGTTGGGCTAATGAATGACTATCTAGAACCGAATTTGTTAGACGAAATAATAGCTGGCTGTGAAAAGCGTGCGCCGCGACCAAAACATGTGTCGCCTTTGTGGTACTTGGCTTGTCAGATGCAGACCTGTATGAAAGGAAAGGACATTAGCGATTTGCTGAAAACGCCTCCGCCGTGGTGGGCTTTCACCAGTGTAATCTACCGCGACCACTTTCCGCAGACGTTTGGCGAGCTTCCCATGTCTGAAACATCCGTCCGCCTAATTACCTTCAGCTCCAGAGCAGCACACTGGATTGCATTCGGAATCCGCAATTTCCATCTGACCCGCAGCACATGGTTACCCACCAAAAATATCGACATCGTGAATATCTTTCAAATGGTTATGGGAGACCACTGGTTCAGCGAAATGATCAATATAATCAGACCAAAGATCTCTAAAATTGTACCTGATGAGGGCCCAGAACAAATGAAGAAGCTATCAGACAAATCCATCATGGAAGCCGTCCTCAGGTACGCGCAGGTTGGTCGAAAGGTCAGCTGTGCATTCTGCAAGGCCTGGGATTTTGATGTTGCCCTGCATCCCAAAACGTCCATGGAGATCAAGGAAACGAACTCGTCGTCGGAGGACGAATTATCTCCAAACAAAGGTAGACCGCTCGCCTAGGGATGTGTTCGATTATGGAGTGCCAGAGCGGTTAAGGGCTGCATCAACCGAGATCGCCCCCATTGACAAATAAGCTGTGTCCTTCTTGAGCGAGGACAGCAACGGACCCACGTGGAGCATGCGTCTCACACGCGCCAGAGGCATTCTGCCGGGGATCGAATTGGTCAAGGGGAAGCAGAGAACGAAACGTGTGTGCACCGCTCGTGAGACCGAACACTTCATACAGCTAGCTTCCGTGAACGTCTCCGCGAGGCCAGCCTTCGCCGCAGGACGACTTGGGGCCGGTCGTGTTCGACAACGCCCCAACACGCGTGTTAGTGCGGGAGTGGTAAGGAAAGAATGTGGAATTAGAGGAGTTGGTGTCGAGGCCAGTTGATTTATCTGATACATGGTTTCTTTCAGAGGTTCCTTCCTTTGTCGTGAGTGTTTGTTGTCTGTTCGTAGCGAAATATCCACATTGACGAAGACAGAAATATCCACATTGACGAAGACAGAAATATCCACATTGACGACAGATTGCCGAAGGCAATCTACAGAGGTCAAAATGCTTTGGGGAAGTAGATATTGGATGACGCCGTGGAGGTGATGAGGCATATGATCCAACATCCGCCAAAGTCATCGAATACGTTGGTTCGATATTGTTAAGTTTTGCCGTACAGAGCTTCAGGGTGTCTTTAAACAAGTCGGAGGAGGAAGAGGAGGATCACCGCAATCGGAGAGAGAACTCTTCCGTCTAGTTTTTCAGTGTCAATTCCACCACACATTCGGCGAGCTGTCGATATTTGGGGTTACTGCCCGCCCGCTTAATCACGTTCAGCTCCAGAGTTGCGCGCTGGTAGATCTTTCAGACAATCGCGCTGGTGTCTGAAAGTGCCACCAGACGCGCAACAGGTGGTGGCCGAGCCCAGATTGTGGATGCCTCGAACACGGTATTGGGGTCAGGATGGTCTGCCGCGATGATCAATTCCAGCGGCGCTATCCAAAAATTATTGTGGCTTGGGAAAACGGACATTTAACACGATTCCGTAGGGGTACACTTGTCAAATCTTAAGTGTGTGGCTTGCTTACTCGAGAACGTTGGGACCACTCCGCCGTTGATAAATGGTAGCCATCTTCCCAAGGCCGCCCGCGACCGTGGTGTGCTTGAAAAGTACGGGGAGAGGGAAAGTAGCGAGGAAGCGATCCTGAGGAAGTGAAACGTGTTGCCATGGACCGTATTGAAACCGACCACTGTTCAAACCCCATTTGACTTCTTTTATTACTTTAGTTTATTTCTGGAATGAGGGTATGCTTTGCCAGCCAGAAGACTGGGTACGTGACCCTGGCTATACTTGGGATGCCGCTACCGGCCGAAGAAACCCTTCCTGACGGGAATCTGGGTGTCCGGTACTACGAGTCAACGGAACCGTTGCCTCAGCTCTGCGGGGATGCCTTGCCTCAAGAACCGGTGATGGCGGTGTCCGCCTTGTCGGAGCTTGTGATGGAAGCCTGCCCTGATTCTTTGATGGAGGTCTCGCCGGAACCGGTGACCGAAGCCCCGAAAGGACCGTTGACTGGGGGACCACGGGGACCGTTGAAGGATGTAGCCCAGGAGCCTGTCGTGGGAGCCTGCCCTGCATCTTTAGCGGAAGCCTGGGCGCAGTTTAACTTCGTCGGTCGGGTGTTGGATGAGTGCTTGGAGATGGAGAAGAACCGCAAACCAACACTCACTGCAAGGCAGGAAATGGAGGTTGTTAGAATGGCTACGGCCGCTATCCTGAAAACGGTGTATGAACGAGAAAGTATAACGGACGTGTCCATTTCTGATTTCGAGGGGTGTTCATTTCGATGTTTAAAATTGGCATCCTTAATTTGTGAGTGGCAAGACAGGGAGCATGGTGGCTTTACAGAATTGATTGCAAGGCTGGAGGAGTTGGTATCTAGACCGGCTGATTTGTCTGATACATGGTTTCTGGCTGGCGTGGTACAGATCTTCTCTTCAGCCAGGTATTTGTACCGCTGGCTACCTCTTACAGTATCGCCGCAAAGTGGCTGGGGTTGCCGGAAAATGGTTTTTCGGGTCTCCTTCCCAGATGATGTCCTCCATCTACCGGAGAGTGAGGATTGTGTGAAACGCGTTTGTGCTAGCTCAAAGCTAGACTGGTGGTTCCATCAAGCTATTGGAAATATTTGTCGTGATGAAGAGACTTGGCAATTACGGGGTTGGCCAGCGGCGCTATTCAAAAATTATCGTGACCTGGGCAAGAGGACATTTGATGATGCCATAAGGGCAATGAGGCATATAATTCGACCTCCATCACACTTGTCAGATCTTAAGTTTATGGGTTGCTTACTCAAGTACGTTGAGACCACTTCGGCGATGAAGACTGGGAGACGTCGTGCCGCCCACAACCCCGAAGCCACCCGGTTATCCTCATCTGGTGATCCTCTGCCCTCCTCGTTCGATTCCAGTCCAGCGCCAGCTTGTTCGACAAGGCCTTGGGTTGATGCCAGTCGCTTGATTGATCCCGATCACTCGGATTACCCGGATAGGTCGCTTGCCGCGGAGATGACGTCTTTTGTGGCTGGCGTGCTTAAAGAGTGTGCGGAGAGGGAAAGCAACGAGAAAGCGGTTCTGACGGTAGAGATGAAGCTGGATATTGCCAA